CGATCAGGCATCCCGTAAAGTTTATCTTAGGTTCGTCTTGCGAGTTTCTGCAATTTTGTTATGTATAGATAGCATTCTTCTCACTCGTTGTGAGTTTGACTCTCACTGGCTACGATAATGGGTTTGGCGTGGATCTTATATTCTTGTTTCTCTCACTTGTTTTGGGAAGATTCAGGAGGGAATCTGTGCTTCATTTTATTATGAATTTTCAGAAATGGGATCGTTATAAATGAATTTAACTTAAATACGCATTCTTTATTTTGTTGCTGGGTGTTTCTTTGGGGTCCCCGAAATGAAAACTCTGAGACCTTCCATTTTGATAGATTTTCTTAGCAACCATGCGAGCAGAAGCTTGGTGTAATTATATCGTTTTGTGATTATTTTTTGCGGGTTATTTTGGCTTTAAATTTGGTGTAGAATTAAGATCCTTTATCCCAGTGAAGAGTATAAAAGATATTTTGATTTTGTAATCTATTTTGTTCCTACGTTGTCGTGTGTTTCAGGAGAAGAGAATTTGGGTCCGTGGAAGAATGAAGTCACACAAGCGGCTCTAGCACCAGTGCCAGAATCAAATTCGCCTCAGGAAAATCTTATATTGGCGGCAAACAGGACGAAAAGGCCTGACATTCTTCGAGGTTTCCGACGTTATCGAGATGGTTGGGACATTGCCAATAAGCATTACTGGGCAGTAAGTACCACGAGTCTTTATTGTTTATGTTGTGAAATGGATACTTTATTCTGTTATTGATGCTTTAATCTGTTTTTTCCTACTTTAAGCAATAATTTTCATTTTTCTGTTTTACTCAGAACTGAGGAAGGTTACGTGCCTTAAGCTAACTCTCTTTGACAATTCTGTCATAAACATTTATGGGTACTTGTTAATGCTTACGGCTTTGAAAGTTATTAAATATGTTTCTAAACTATCATCTTACAGAATCTGAACCATTTTGTCCATTTCCTCTTTGATCCTGTTATTAGAGATGCCCCTTTGGACACTTATTTGGTGATAGTTCAGGGGGTATTTTCTGGTTTTCCAAATTTGACAAATTCTTGCAAATTGATCATTGTTAAAAGGGAAATTTGTTGCCTTCTAACCTTTTAAGGAATGGTTTTTACTTCATCTATTTATGCCCATTGAGAATCTGATTTTCAGGTTATCTGTATGGGGTTTATCTCCATTGTCTCTCAAATTTATTGCCTTCTAACCTTTTCAAGCAATGATTTTTGTTTCATCCTTGTTTACCGCTTGAGAATCTGATATTTGAGGTTACCAGTTTATCATACAGTACTCAATCTATTTATTTCCGAGCTGATTCAGATTTTCTATGTTTCAAATAAGCCTTGCGATTCTGTTATTCACTTGAATGAATAATTCTTTGAACTGTTTTTCATGCAGTCAGTTGGGTTCACTGGTGCTGTTGCTTTCATTCTTGCTGGCCTATGGTTTATTTCATTTGGCTTGGCTCTTATAATTCATTTATGCTGTGGATGGGGAATTAACATCAAGGATGAAGGATCAAATCATTCACAGAGAATTTGTCTGATACTGCTTATATTATTCACCTGCGCTGCTGCGTAATACTCTTTATATTAATGTTCCTTTGTCAACTTCTTATGCTATGTTTCCCATCCTGGTCATTGAAGACTTATACCTAATTTTCCTAATCTGTTCTTGTATTATCTGCTCGTACGTTTTGTAATCTTACTTAGTATTTGTAATTTATGGATCATCACTTTGACATGGAGGTTGTCCGTAGAATTTACTTGATATATTCCAATCTGATGATTGTTACATGCTCTGAAATTCTGGGAATCAGTTTCCAACATAGGATAAGCAAGATTTCTCTTCAAACTTGTATTCAGCATTTGCAACCTATTAATTGATTTTTATTTAGAGCTTGCAAACATGATGAAGGAAATGGAAACTGAAAGTAATTTTATGTTCTCAATGTTTCTTAGAATTTCAAACTGCTCTCATACACAGCTCAAAATGTCTATTTATTTTACATGTTTAAAAACAATGTGTTGAACCTTTCCATGTTTCTCTTGCTAATTTGTCCTGATCTTATATTATACAGGACTGGATGTGTCGTCCTATCTGTTGGGCAGGATAAGTTCCATGACGAAGCCTTGCAAACCCTAGGTTATGTTGTCAATCAATCTGATTATACAGTGCAAACTCTGAGAAATGTCACAGAGTATCTCTCCCTTGCAAAGACTATAAACGTCGCTCAGATGCTTCTCCCATCTGATATCATGGACGACATTGACAATTTGAATATGGATCTAAATGCTGCGGCAAATACACTGTCTGAAAAGACAGATGAAAATTCTGCCAAAATCAAAAGAGTGTTCAATGCTGTGTATGTTGTCATAGACTTGTCACTCTGTATTTTAGTTTTCAGAATCAAAAATCAGAATTTGCGGTGCTAAATTTTGAATCCATCTTGCAGGCGCTCAGCTTTGATTGCAGTTGCAGCAGTGATGCTCCTCTTAGCTCTAATTGGCTTGTGTATGTATCCATTATAACAGCCTGAAAAGTTTGAGCTAGTTTTTATATCTGTATTCTTGAAGTCATCTTTATAACCGGCTAATATATTTTCTGCAGGTTTGTCTATCCTTGGACATCAACATGCAATTCTAATGTGAGCTTTTTATTTTTTATTTTTTGTTCTTTGTTTTGCTCATGGCCTGTTTGTTGGAGAACAATCCTAATCCTTGTCACGCCCTCACTTCTGACATTTGGTTTTAAAATGTTGCAGATTTGTTATCAGTGGATGGTTACTAGTTGCAGTCACATTCATTCTTTGTGGGGTGTTCCTCATATTTAATAAGTAAGCCACCGGAATTGTTTTCCCCCTTTTTGACCTTTATTTTGGGGAGGAACTAGGAGGAATTCTTAGGTGGATCCGGTCTTTAAAAAAGTTGGTAGATTAAACCAACCATGGATGAACATTCAAGTGTATTTATTAGCAGACGTTTCGGTGGAACCCACTTTTGACATTTTTAGGTGCCTATGCATGATAAGTTTTAGATTAGTCTAGTAAATTTTTGTAAGCCAGATTTATTTAAAATTTACTAAGAAAGCAGTCATTTTCCTGAGAGAAAAAAAATACTCCCAAGATTTTGAGATATTTTCTTTACTCTTAGAAAATTAAAAAATAATTTTAATTATTTTTCTTCCTATTTATCATCTAATACACTTACATATTACATGTGTTTTGTTATTTTATTGTTCATTATTATTTATTATTTATCTTAGGTAGACCCTGTTTTAAAAAGTAGGTAGATGAAACCAACCATAGATGGACATTTGAGAAGTACATTCATTAGCGGGCTTTTCAGTGGGACCTACTTTTGACATGGTTAGGTATCTATACACTACAAGGTTTTGTTTTGTTTTTTGTTTTTTTTTTTTGGTCTATTAAACTTCTGTATGCCGGATTTATTGACTTGGCTACCTGTAATCACCCGTATTAAAATTGCAACTTAATCCAGAACAAAACCATCATACGACGAGACAATATTGAACTAAAATGCTATATTCTGCATTTTCTGGTAGTTTCAATATCCGCAGTGACTCACTGACATTAAGGGCCAATAGATCTGGCCTGATATGATGGAATTATTTCGATTTCAGTGCAATTTCTGATGCATGTATGGCTATGGGAGAATGGGTAGAGAATCCTCATGCAGAATCTGCTCTTAGCAACATCCTTCCCTGTGTTGATCAGAGAACCACAAACAAGACACTGGTTCAGAGCAAACAAGTGGTCACCAATATTGTAAGTGTCGTGAATCGGTTCATCTACAGCATTGCAGATGCAAATGCATCGCCAAATGATCCGAACTATTACAATCAGTCCGGACCTGCGATGCCACCTTTGTGCTACCCTTTTGATTCTCAGCTCAAGGAGCGGCAATGTACATCTCAAGAAGTTTCCTCCTCCAATGCCTCATTGGTAAGTTCTAACAAGTTCATCACTTAATTGAAAAAGATATGTACATTTACGCTCTGCTGGAACTTTAGCGATGATCATTTTGTCAAAATGATCGTGTTTTTCCCTGATCAAACTTTTCAGGTGTGGAAGAACTACGAGTGCCAGGTAACAGAATATGGTTTTTGCAGCAGCGTCGGCAGGGTGACGCCGGAGATTTACTCACAGTTGGTGGGTGCCGTTAACGAAAGCTATGCATTAGAACATTATACACCACTCTTACTCAACCTTCAAAATTGCAATTTTGTGAGGGAAACATTCCAAGAAATCACTTCAAGTTACTGTTCTCCATTGAACCATTATCTTAAGGTTATCAATGCAGGGCTTGGTCTCATTTCAGTTGGTGTCTTGCTCTGTCTTGTTCTCTGGATACTCTATGCAAACCGCCCCCAAAGGGAGGAGGAGTTTGCGAAACCATCCTTTGCACAAAAACTAAAGAACAGATTTAGCAAGAACCGCAACAACAGTGCAAATTCATCATTCTCAAACACAGCAAGGGAAGTATAGATTGTACAACAGAAAATTAGAAGCCGAAAGGAAGTAGGTCATTGGTGTTCTATTGTACCCCATATTAGGGGATGAAACCAAGGTGAAGCGAAGCTGCACCGTTTGAGTTTCAAGAGAGTAGTATAATCTAGCTTGCTATATATTTACCTATACAGAGAGAGAGAGAGAGAGAGAGATATGGAGGGAGGGGGGAGAGGGAGGGAGAGAAGTTGTATCCATATAAAGAAAAAGCAAATATTTGTTGAGTCACAAAAGTGTCATGTATACCTAGTCTACTTTTTCTACAATAAAAATGGCAGTGAAATTGTTCCAATGTTTTCCATCATTAAATCATTCAATGATGACATGTTGAATATTAGTGATCTAAAATATTAATTGGGCTAGCAAGAAATGGGTTTCCATTATTAAATGCTAACTTTGAGTCTGTGTAACTAAAATTTTGGTCAAGTTAGACCCTAAAAAAATAGCTTTTTAAGAAAATATTAATCATGTTCACAAGATTTTTTTATTAGCAACAATTAAGAAAGCTACCACTAAAGAAAAACCAGAGAGAACCAAAAATGGGGTGAGGATCCATGTGGATATGATCCAATGTAAAGGATCTATTTCCTCTCAGCAATATAACTCTCCCTCTTTCAGTGCCACATACAGAAAAAAAACAAAAAAAATGAGAACTTCCATGAACAAAGTCAAACCCTTCGAATATTAACCGATTGTTGAATCAGAAGTCGGTAGCACCACCAGAGGTTAAGCAGTTGAAAACTTGAAACCAATAAGCAACAAGTACTTCAGAAATAACGATGGAGTATCTTTAAATCTGCCTACCACATCAAAGAAAGCTTCTACGACGTCTAAAGCGCCACAAGAACATCACTAACGCCATGAACAACAAGCTTGTCATTGTGGAACATATTTGGAAAGACAACTGAGACTCCGTTCAGCACCAAAACACCACCAGACCTCGTGACGTTAACAGAAAAACCCTCCAAAATCGTGGGTAACTCCGACACGTTGTCCAAGTCCACCAGATCATTCCAGAGAAGCTTACACGGTACAACATGGCGAAAAAAGAACGATGGGTACTCGCTGAAATTCCCAAGCAGGTTCTTCACCATTTCATCTTCAGGAGCAAAAACGGTCATCGTGGCGTCATCCTTGATTCCATTCATTTGCAAAGCAAGAAACGTCGCCGTCACAGAGTACCCTGTGGATCTAAGTGTTTCCATGGCTTGACCGAGCGAATCGGAGGAACTCGTAGTCTGGCTTTTCAACCCACACAACAGATTAGGGCTAGGTCCCTGAGATGCTGTAGTATACTGAGAATTGGGATCGAAGAAACTGTCGATTCCGTAGATTAGGAAAAGGCCATCCTCATAAATCGGCGAGGAGCCAATGATTTGGACGTAGTTAAGCGAAATCTCGAAATCGGAATGCGACTCGGTGACGATCAGAGAGTGGTTATTCAGCATCGTTGGAATCTCCGAGCCCGCGGGGAGCAATCGGAGGTTTTGTGGAGGCAACGGTAGGGGGGAGAAGTGGAAACGGAGGATATCAAGAGAAGGCTGACCCGATTTTCTAAATGAAGAATCCGATGGAGCGAAGATGGTGAGAGAAGGAGTTTGTGAAAGGAGAGTTTGATAAAGGGCTTGGAGAGTAAGAGACATGGAGCTGTATCCTGAATCGGAGAGAATGTCGGCTGCGTCAAGGATAGTTTCATGGGAGAGAGAAGAGGAAAGGGAGAAGAAGGAGAGAGTGTATAGAAGAGGAAGAAGAAGACAAGAGGCAGCCATTGATTAAGCTCGAAATTGAGAGAGGGTTTTGTCTTTCTTCGAGGTTCTGGTTCTGTTAGGACTTTGGCGGGAGATCACTGGGATGGCGAGACCGTTGAAAGTCGTTTGACAATTCCTATCCAAAGACAGAAATGCCCCCGGCATGCCTTACTAATTACTAACTTCATCATTTAGGCTGAAAAAAAAAAAAAAACTACTAAGGCTTAAGACTGAGGCATTTCATGATATTTTTTAAAAAATAGGTCTGAACGTATGAGAATTTGGATTTCAATTTAAATTAATCAAATTTTATTTGAATAGATAAAAGTTCATAGATTGAGGTTTGAGCTATTCCGAACTCTCTCATTTGTTTCACCTTTTTGATTAAAATTTTAGATTTCTCTCTCCCATCTTTAAAATTTTTCACACTATCCAAAATTTTAAAAACATAAATTTTAAATGTAAAAATTTTAATATGGTTTCAAATTCAATCTATCATGTTAGCAAATAGCAATCTTTGTTCTTAGTTATCGTCTTAATACACTTAATATTACTGGCGTGCATGATGTAGTCGTTTATTTGTTCACCATTACTTATTGAAGTAACTACTGCCTTATTTTTTGACACTGAAATTTTATTTTTTTTAACAAAATTTGAATTTTGAATGATCTGTAATATCACTTCTGGTCTGACTTATATAAAAAACATTCATATATATATATATATATATACATACATGTGTGACTAGGGCTGCACAAAGATTAGACAAGACTGAATTTTGATGTCTTACATAAAAAGGACCGGATTACATAATTTATAGTTCGATCTAGTCCAATTGTAATTCAAAAATTAACAAGCCCAAATTTGATCTATAGGACTAGGAGACTAGTCTTGATAGTCTAGTACTCAATTATTTTTTTTTCCTGTATGAGAAATAACAATTCATCTCATCCTGATAAAGTAAATTAAGATAATAAAAATATTTATAATTATAGAAAAATACATTATAATATCTAACAACAACAAAAACAAATATTTTAATTACAATCTACATGATTCAAATTCATAACTTCAACAACAGCAACAACAACATTCAACAAATTTTAGCTAGCAACATGTCTAACAAACATTAGAACAATAATTTAGTAGCAAATTAAATTAAAATTATATTAAATAAAAGTGTGAAATGTGAATGAAGGAATAATGTGTTTCAAATTTTAAGCTATTTAAATATATTAAAAATAATTAAAATAATTTCATCGAATCGGACTGGACCAAGTGGTCTGAGAGTTTAGCCTCTTGTCCGATCCAACTCGATAAGTTAGTTTGATTTTTTTGGTTTCTAGTTTTTTGGACCATTTTTTTACTGGACTGGATAGGATTAGACTTTTTTGGGTTAGATAAGACAATCAAACTTTTGTACAATCCCAGTGTGATATATTATTCATCAATGGGAGCAAGGAAAAAAACAGTTAAAACATTAGTTGAAATATACCTTTAATAAAATGTCATTTTAATCATTTAACCCTAACATCTTATTTTCCATTTGATATGTTGGAATTGATTTTGATAGAAATGGATATAGAAATTCATATGGAAGTGAGGTTTAAAAATATATTTGGTATGTCTATGAAATCATGATATAATTGTCATTCAAAAAACTAAAATACCCTCCTTAAACTACATCCAGTCTTACCCTAAAAAATAAACTACCATCTAGTTCCATTCTACCAAATGAAAGCAATGAAATTTGTTTTCCTCAAATCAAACCCACTAATTATTTGATGCAAAATTACAATTGCAATCTAGAATTTGTAACCAAAAAAAAATTAAAACCACCATCCTGTCATGCTTTGCTCTTTAATGATGATGCCTCTCGGTGTTCAAAATTTGAGTGAAGCTCTTGTTGAGTGGAACTCCCTTTTGATCGATTGCTACAACATTCGCCTCTTTCACTGTGCTGTTCATCACTTTAATGCTGCTTCTTTGGAGGCAGATCTGGATTTTGCTCAACGATAATGGCTTAGGAAATGGAATCGATAGTAAGGGTAGAAGAAGGTCAAAAGGTCACTAGTGAGGAGTGTGGAGAAGGTTGCCAGCGAGAAGGGGCGAAGGTCACCTATGAGGAGTGGGGAGAAGGTCACTGACAGTGAGGGGGGAGAAGGTCAAAAGGTCATCAGCCAAGAGTGTGGAGAAGGTCACCAATAGGAGGGGGAGGAAAGTCGCCTGCGAGGAGTAGGGATTAGGTCGCCGACGAGGAGGAGGGAGAAGGCAAGGAGAAGGTTGGACTTTGAAGAGGACAATGAATAACACTGACTGAACGAGGGGGGGTAAAAATGAGATGGAGAACATGGAGTTTGAAATCCTTGGATTGTATTATGGAAATCAATTCCACATGTTTTGGTGGAAATGGAACTAAAAATTTTTTCAATTCTATCATACCAAACAAACATTCTTCTCAATTCCAATTCTATTTTCATTTCCATACCTCTCATTTCCATTATACCAAACGGGTCATTAGTTTCATGTCATTAAATTTTAAAATATCAACAAACATCTTTGAATATTGATATATTAAATTTAATTTTTTAAAATAATAATTATTAGTAAAAAAATAATTTGATTAGGGTTAAAAAACTTAAAAGATACTTTATACAATTAAAAAATTAAATTAAAATTTTATATAAAGTTAAAAGATTAAAAATATAGTTTAACTTAAAAACATTTTTAGGTTTTTTTTTTTTTTAACATTTGAGATAATTGTTAATGTTATTGTATACAAGCTCAGATTTTCATTAACAAACTGAGACGACATAACAAAGAGACCAACGTAATACAAACATAATCATGCAAGCCCAGTTGCACAAACATATATACATACATATATATAGCTCCAAGGTGCTTCCATAATCCTTAAAATCCCTGTTGATGTTTCGGCCTCCTAAGAAAAGAAGCCTTTAATTGCTGATGCGATGTACTGATGAAACGCTGCAATCACCTGCTTGTCAAAAATCCATGAAACAGTTTGGCCCAAAAGCTTCCCTATTTCCACAATCCATGCATACATAGCCTCCAGAGCTTCTTTCAGAAAGCTCACAAACCTACAAAGTTCATCAATCCATGATGAAACTTTAATCACCGCGACATCTTTCACAATGAACACAATCTCTGAAACTACGACTAACACTGCTTCTTCCACGCTTTTGTTTTTCATGATTGCTGAAACCAGATTCGCCAAACCTCTTTTCACTATCCTTCAATCTTTGAATTAACATCATCTTTTTCCATGGCTCAAATTGAATTGGCTCGTTTCATGGCTTTCAATAATTTCTGCAAAATTTCAGAAATTACCTGGCTCAAATCAGACTCATCACCTGCTTACACCAACTCAATCCACATTTTCTGCCTGTAGGAAATCATCTAAATTATGGGTCTGCCTTGGCAGTCCACAAAGGTTGTTCTCTTCCACTAATTTAATTTCTCTTGTTAGTGGCAACGAACTAATTAATTAATTAACATGGGAATTTTAAAGTTCAGCAGCTTTATTAACTTCTTAATTCGTTTATTCTTTGAATGATCTCTTGGTGTTGGCGTCCAACTTTAATTTTAACTCTTTGGAACTTTATCCATCTCCTCCATGTTTTTAGCCCTTGGCATCCTCCGTTAACTTTTATTCCATCCAAATCATAATATAAAATATCTTTTGAAAATCTTGTTTAATCCAGAATATAGGATCTTGATAATTTTTATAACTGTTTTTTTTTCCACTTCTATGTATACTTACTTCAGTTTTTATTAAAGGAAACTTTTAATAATTTTATACATCTTAAAAAAAATTAATTATTTTATATAATAAAAATGAGATATATATTTTCATTTTTACCATTAATTTTAAATAATAATATAACTACATTAAATATCTTTATGTTAATCAAGAAATGATATAATTAAAAAAGTAATTTAATTATTACAAAATTTACTTTTAAAAGATGTCCTACAAATAAAACTAGAGAAAGTATAACCCTACTTTATTAATTTATTACTTTTCTTGAAAAAAGATGCATTGGAATCATTATTAAGACACTTTTATAGGATATTTAATGAGTATATAATTGAAAATAAAATTATAAAGTGTATTTAATAAGCTTTATTATTATGCATAATTTTATTTAAAATTATCTTATAATTTGAGATTGAGGGAGTATTTTGGGATTTTAAACATATATGTTGGTGTGACAAATGTTCACGCACCTGTTTTCTAGACTGTCCTAATTTAATCTGATTTCAGCTATCCAAAGTTAAAATTTTAAATGAATCAGATACTTTCTTTGTTGGGAAAGTTATTGATCATTTCTGAAATTAGGATAAATCATCGAAAAAGAGGTTTCATTTTACTCAAATATGTATTTATAAATTAAAATACATAGATAATTAAACGGGTTAATGGATTGGTAATTTTATCTTATACATCTCACTAGAAAAGGAAATTTGTTTCTCACGTTTCCTGATACAGGAGAAGACGGACGATCAAGTTGTTTTAATCAATCAAAGTCGTCTGGTTCTCTCACAATGAACTTAGTCGATTTTCAGATGAGAACGTCCGTTCAATTGTCCAGATCGAAGACATCGCTTTGTAATATTAATAATTGATAACTGAGATTTATAGTAGAGAGGTAGAGGTGAGTAGGTACTACCTTCGATTAAAAACCAAATCGAACTATACTTATTGTTTCACCAAAGAAAGCTATTTAGTTTTCTTCTCCAACCGATTTGATTTAGTTTTGGTTTTATTCAGGTTTAAATTTTTTGAGATATTTTTCATAAATATTTATACCTTTTTATTAATAATTTTAACTATTAATTATTGTTTCCAACAAAAAAAAATCTTGAGAACAGAAGAATATTTTTAATGATTATTATCACATTTAACTATTAAAAACTAATATTATATCTTTAAAATACTTTATTATAAATTTAAGAAAAATTATCACAAATAATTGTAGACAATTATAATAGAATTTTTATTTGATTTACAAATAACTAAACATAGAAGCGAGAAAAAAACTAAGAGAAATTTATAAAGT